ACCGGGTCTGACCGGTTCTGGAAATGTGCCAGTCAGACTGGGTCGGGGTCCGGGTCCCAAAATTTTCCAGTTTTGCCACCTCTAGTACCTAGGTACCAACTGCCAAATGCTTTTGGCTCATTAGGCGCCTGTGCCTGAGCCTCTGAGGCTCTTGTAAGTCTGAAATATGGAGTTAAGTGATGGCTAAAGCTGAGGGGGTGATCTAGCATTGATTATTAGGGTGTTGATGGTGACTTGTAAACGACTCATTTTTTTTTTTGAGTCGATTCTTTGAGTCTGAAAATTTGAATCGATTCATCAAATGACTCATGATGTTAAATTTAATTGATTCGAATCAACTCATGACTCATCAAGTTCCTCGATGAAGTGATTCGAATCAACTCATGACTCATCGAAAAACGGTTTGATTCTGAGTCGATTCACGAATCAACTCAGATTCGTTTACAAGTCTGCTAGCCAGTACTTTTTTTCAGTACCAAGAGGGGATTGGAATGGAGGGGAGAGGAGAGGGGAAGGGAGGGAGTGGAGGGAAGGGGAGGAAATCGAGGGAGGGAGGGAGGGAGGGAGGGAGGGGGAGCGAAAAAGTGCGATGAAGGAGACGGGGAGAGGAGGGAGAGAGACGGATGGGGAGGGGTAAGTAAGCATACGATTGGATCAGTGATCGACAAAGTCAGAGAGCGGAGAGGAGGGAGTGAAAAAGGGAAAGGAAAAGAGGGAGAGAGAGCGAGAGAGAGAGAGAGAGAGAAAAAAAGCGGGCATTATGGACGGGACGGGCAGGGATTTCTATATAAATGTTCAAACGACGATTAGCGCCGGTAGGCGCGGGAGGGTGACCTGGGACGGGCAGGGATTTCTATATAGATGTTCAAACGACGATTAGCGCCGCTAGGCGCGGGAGGGTGACCTAGGACGGGCAGGGATTTCTATATAGATGTTCAAACGACGATTAGCGCCGGTAGGCGCGGGAGGGTGACCTAGGACGGGCAGGGATTTCTATATAGATGTTCAAACCACAGTGTATATAAATAGTTCAAACGACGATTAGCGCCGGTAGGCGCGGGAGGGTGACCTAGTTATTTTAGATATTTTATGAAGCTTTTACCTGCCTTTACCTAGGCGTTATTTCTTTTTTTATTACCTGAAAGAATTATTGAACGTTTGTCTTCAATAGCTGTAAGGTGCTCTCCTAATGACCAGGTGAGATTGATTTGAAAGGGATGTGACAATGCAACATGGTGCATTTTCTGAAGCTGTAAAGCTCATGATGATGAAGGAACAATTGGTACCTATAATTAGTATTCTGTACCAGAGTGCAAACTCCCCTACGGCAAATGATAAAACCATTGCAGGTTTTCAAAGGCTTGACCACTTTCAATGTTGCTAGGCATCCTTTGCATGATTTTTACAGGCTAGACTGCTTATCTTTTTATTTAAAATTTTATATTTGAGTACTTAAGATTGAGCTTGAAATCTCACAGCCGTGGCCACTGGCCGCAGCCGTAGCCGTGTTCTTGGAGATATTTGCAGCCGCCCCGCCCCACAGCCGTGGGGCTGCAGCCAGCCGCGGCTGCAGCCGGCCGGTGCAGACCTCTACTAGGAGTACACTCCTAGGGACAAGAGCACACCTCGAGTAAGGGGCACACCTCTCAGGTCTGGAGCACACCCCACAAATCAGAACACGAATATATTAACCCTCACAATGCTGGGGGTGGGGGGGGGGAGGTGTTTGAACACCCACTGTGCTTTTTGGCTCGTCTTATCATAGATCTTTTCTGCACATTCTGTGTAAAATTTCAGACCAAGGTCACTCAAGGTCAGGCTACCAGGTCACTGTAAGTGACTTAACCTCATAAAAAAGTTTCAGTGCCTGCCACAGCTACACCCAGGGAGGGGCCCGGGAACGATTTTCAAGTTGGGGGGGGGGGGGGCGAGCCTAAAATACCTGACATATGCATATGAAACAGTGGCGTAGCTGGGGCTCTAAGGGGACACGTACCCCCCCCCCCGGCTCCCCCCACCCCCACCCCCAATTGGGTTCAAAGGGACCCTCGGGTCCGAGGGTCCCTGCGGCGCCATTTGACCGCTGAAGGTTAACGATGACCATATCTCGACTCAGAAGGGGCCCATGGGGCTCGTTAGAACACCTCATGGGCCCTAAATAGCCACACTAAGATCTCCATAAGGGCCCCACTCCGGCTTCTGAGGACCTCTTGCGGCTTTAAGGGTCCCTCGGTGGTCTCCAAAGGCCCGTTACTGGCCTCTGAGAGCTCTTATCGGCCTATGAGGGGCCAGTTCTCGGGGCATTTCCCACATGTGATGTTCCCACACTTATTTTTCTTATGGCCGAAGAATAACGGCAACTTTGGGGGCCCTCATCGGCGCCTATGAGGGCCCACAGCGGTGTCTCTGAGGGTTTCACACGCCCAGCTCTGAGTGCCTACACCAGTGCCTATTTAAGTCCTATATCGGTGGCTCTGAGGACCCAACGGCCAACACCTGCGCATCTAAAGGCCACCCATTGGTGACTTGAGGGCCCCACACCGGTGACTCTGAGGGCCCCACCGGCGTCTGACAGTACCATGCCGGTCTCTAAGTAAGGACCCCACAAAACTTCTTCTGCCGGCCTAAGGGCCCCTTGCCGGTCACTGAGAACCCCCTGCCGGCTTGTAGAGGGTTCGTGTCAGCGGCTCTAAAGGCCCAACTCCCGTCTGTAACGGCTCCACAACAGCGTCTATGAGGGCCCACAGCAACGCCTGTAAGGACCCTCACCGGCGCCTCTGAAAGAATCACAATAGCACCTCTGAGCGCCCACACTGCCACCTGCATGACGGCCCCAGTGCCTCTAAAGGCCCCTTACCGGCGGTTCTGAGGGCCCTACGCCGGTGATTCTGAGGGTGCTACCGATAACCGAAGGCACCACACCAGTCCTTAGTGTCGCTGAGCTTTAATCCCATACCAGCCTTCCGAGGGCGCCACCTAAGTACGCACTCATTGCCCCACACCCCTCCCTCACACCCGGAGCGTGTAAACTGTGTTGTGCCTATAGCAACGATTTTACCACGGTTGTACGTTATGTGCATATTTCTCAAAGTTGACTCAAAATGGTCCAGCATAAAATATGGTCTGCCAAACTTATGGCCAAGGTCAGGCCCAAACCAAAGCGGGATGACAATAGCAGATGTCGAATCGATACTGTATCAACAGAAACCACTCAGATGGCAAGGAAAATGCCGTGTGTTGATGTTTAGATGTATAAAAGAAACAAGAAGGAAAGAAGTACGGAAAAGGGAGGAAAGATCTTTTCTCGCTGCCTCAATGTTGAGGGGGCGTCGCCCCCTCGGCTCTCAAGTTGGGGGGGGGGGCGGGCAAGCGCCCCCGCTCCCCCCCCCCCTTGTTCCCGGGTCTATGGCTACACCCAGTGATAGATCACTTTAAAACTTCAATCAATTGATAAAAGCAACAATACGTACAAATTGTGTATCTGGAAAGTTTATCGGTGATCTAAGGTCATTTCAATTTCACGATCTCTCCATTGGTCAAAGGGAGAAAATTGAAACTCTTTTGGACGAACGTCATTCTCAACACTTTCTAGCATCAAATTACAAGTAAACATGAAACACTAAGCCGGAAAATGGCACCCGTAACCCCTCGTTATGTCTCTGAGTTCATCTCGGTCACAAATGGTGTCTAACAGTTTTTCGCTATTAACTTTTGATAGAGACACGCTGGAGCGATGAAAACACCTAAGATGTGTTTGGCAGTTGGCTCGACGATATGATCGACTGATATGCAACATGACCTTTTCCGATCAAGTCATGACTTTGACCTGAGGTAAAATTTTCAACTTGACGTTTTAAGGTCAAATTACAGTCCATTCGACGCGTCTTGGCGAGAGGAGACACGATGCTGCTAAAAATAAGGTTGTTTATGTTTTGAGTCAAAAGTTATCACATAAAAGCTGTTTCCGCAAAAACAGTCCTTTTGGGCAGTTTTTCCCGTGCAGGCTAAACCGTTGACCTTAGGTCAAATATGAGACCATTACGCAGAAAGACCGTTAAAAGAGCTATTGAATGCGCTTTTCCACGACGCTGTAGCTCTATCCGTTCATGGGCTATGCGCTCGTTTGTCGAAAGTTATCGCAGTTTGACCTGGAAAGTGCCTAAATTTTACCTTCGGTGGCCTCTGGTAACCTGAACTATGACCTGACCTAAAAAGTGACTGATGTAGTTTACTCATTATTTATGACGCTCTTTGGAATGCCGCCTACGGCTTGTCGTTACGTGGCCCAGGAGCTGAGTTAGAAGAAGAGGGGTGTTCACCCTTCCCCCCCCCCACCCCCCCGCAGGGCGTGGAAATCCAGAACCCCCAGCGGGTGGGGGGGGGGGCGGGTTAATAACGTATGTACCTACCGCAAAAAAGGTTCTACAATATAACTGGTAATAAGTGAAATATGAGGGCCCTCTTTGGCAGAGGGGGCACACCCGGCCTAGTGAGGGGCACATCTATGCCTAAACACCCCCAATAGTTTTTTTTTTTTAATCGACACCCATGTGCTCAAGCCTTATTAGTTATTGAGGGTGCTCAATCTAGCATTTGGGGTGCTGAAACACCCCTAATGATATACAAATCCACACCAATGCAGTACGATTGTGTACCGTGTACCCTGTATGTACAGCCCATCGCTAAAGTAATGTAGGGTTTTACCAATCTCAACGGTTGGCTTTGACTGGCGATTGTTTAATGCGGAGTGATCGAAAAGAAGATGTCAATAGCTAAAGTTGCAACTGCAAGGGTGACGATACATATAAGCTACATTCAATTCAAAGTTTCATTGTAGTCTGGCTAATCGTTCCTAAGCTTCAGAAGCAGAACATACCCATGACTGAAACCCCGCATTACTTCTGCTGTGGACTGTATGTACATACCTACGTAAGGGCAGTGTCACCCTGTGCGTCTCCTGAATCCGATATGCCCACTATTTCGGCGCTGCCGGTGCTTACCCCGTTTGGTGATGAACAGCTTGGTAGGTTGGCAGGTGATTGGACGGGTCGCCAGAACAGCCAGCTGGTCCAGGAGTGTGTCCGTTGGTATCTGGATACTGACACCTAGTCCAGATGACGACCATCTGGAGTGATTCAATGACCACCAAGCCATCCCAGATCCTGTGGAGAGCGACAAAACCATCACCTATCAACTGACCGTGAATAATCGGACATGATTTGATATATTCGAGCAAGTGACAACAAGCACAGAATCATAAAATACCAGACGTTTCAGCCACACTGTGCCTTCGTCAGTGGATGAGTAAACGAATATGAATACATGAATATCAAGTTATATATGATTATCACAGCATGAAATATATCAAGATGATCTAATTGCCTTGCTAATTGGTACATGTACCAATTGTGTACATGTACATGTTTTGAAACCCATCAGTCAAAGTCTAATTTCCGTCCAATGTCCGGCATTTTCGTTGAATTTCCGTCCAAAAAACTTAAGTCAGCCATGTGTCCAAATTTGTCCGAAAAAAAACGTATTGATCGGCATCCAAAACTGTCATTTAAATTGTTTATATTGTAATTTTACCAGCCGAAAAATGTTCATTATATTGAGAGCTTAACTAAGCTTTCCATTCGCCAATCGATGCTTGCACGATTACTTCATAAAAATGCTGACGTGTAGTAAGCCATCGTCCAATGTTGTCCAGTCTGCTACCTTTGTCCAACGAATTCCGAATGGGACATTGGACAAAATCAGAACTCCAAATGTCCAGGCTCCGATTGGCACCACTATAACAGATGAAGTAAGGTTGGGAGAGTTTTTATTGAACGGAAATTATAGAAGTTCTGTTAACTGAAGAGAGGCTACTACTGTCAACTGAACGATGTGCAGCGTGCAGATATTGATACTCTGCAAGTGGTTTGCTTGTTGTGTTGATTTTTCAAATGAAAGAATGTTTAGAATTGTTCTCCCTATTTGTTTATGTGTGTTCAAATTATCCCACGGTGCACCGTGGGATAATTTGAACACACTGCCTTTATGTGCCATAAAAACGATAATCTCGCCAACACCGATGTTGTTTGACCCATAAACAAATAGGTGTTCAAATTGGCCCATAAACAAATAGGTGTTCAAATTGGCCCACCGCGGTGGGCCAATTTGAACACACCGTGACTTGGTGGAGAAGTGAGACTACATATGCTATCCAAGGTATGCTCGGCTCGTCCAAAAATGAAGGTTCCATGGTGAAAGGAAGTGACATTTGCGCTACTGAAACAGTTTTCCTTCATCCAGGGTTGAGCTGGAATTTGGTACGACGGAGAAGACGTAAAAATATTTTCAAATTACCCCACCCATAGACCACTATATACCCGGACCGGTATATTGTTTGTCCTAATGTATGTACATATGTAGATGATTATTGTCGCTACCCCATCGATGGATGACTGTCGTCTAGTGCTGAGTGTTCTTCCCCCCTGCCCGCATGCTTGTTACCTATTATACTCGGATCTAAGCCGTAATCGCCACGCCATATATGGAAGGCTTTTGATGTCAATACATACGAGTCAATACATGATGTCAATACAATACTCGTAGATACATACATAACTGCTATTCCAGCTCAAAATCCCATGTTAACCCGCGCCGGGCCGGGGGGATGTTTGAACACCCCCTGCGGTTTCTCGCCGATATCCGCCGCTGTTTTTGGCACACCTGTTCGGACATCTTTTCCGCACATGTTGTGAAAATTTCAGGCCCAGGTCGCCCAAGGTCAGGTCACCAGGTCACGCCAAGTGACCTCACCTCAGAAAAATAGGAATGCTCGTCATAGCTACACCGACTGAACGATTGCCTTAAAACTTTCAGCGATTGATAAGAGTAACAGTATCTATAAAATGTATATCTCGGAATTTTGATATCAGTGACCTAAGGTCAGGTCAATTTTGTGGCCTCTCCATTATAAGTCAATGGGAGAAAATTGAAAAGCGTCTGTTTTGCACGAACGCCATTCTAGACACTCAAACATCGAGATGCAGGTAACATTGACATACTGAACCGGAAAATGGCAACTGTGACTCTTCGTTAGTGTTACGTCCCCGAGGTCATCTCAGGTCACGAAAAGTATCTAACAGTTTTTCGCTAATAACTTCTGATAGAGGCATGCTAGAGCGATGAAAACACCTTTGTGTTCGGCTTGACGTTACGGAGCGACTGATATGCAGCACGACCTTTTCCGGTCAGGTCATTAACTTGACCTGAGGTCAAGGCCGATGAACCAGAAGCCGGCTGCCGGGTACCTAGTTGCCACGTTGATTTGCTCCCTCATGGTAGAAAGATGAGATACTAGAACCGAAAATTGCTTTGTTTGTAAAAAAAAGTGATTTGAGGGCAAAAACAGCTTCTAAAAATATTTTGAAGAGACAATACTTCAGTTGTAAGGATTCTAAGGCCTGAAAGGGTAGGTATTTTCCAGGTACAAAATAGCTCCCACCGCGAAAGTTCCGTCGTGAAAACGGCCAGTACAGACCAACAGTTACCTATCTGAGCTAGCACGATTTGTCCCAGCAGGCAGCAATTACTGCGTTCTACCAACACACCACGACCCTTCTCACCAGTGATGTCCAGTCTCTTCAGCGACTGGGGCAGCAGCCGCAGCCACTTGCCGGAGCTGTCCACTGGTGGGCTCACATCGAGCCGCTCCAGACCCTTCAGCGGCTCCAGCAGCGCCTCCAGCTGCCAGTCGTTGATGCCGGCCGGCGGCGTCAGCTCACGCAGACTGGAGGCGTTGGCACGCGCCAGCCTGCGCAGGGCAGAGACCCGCAGCTTGAAGCCGCGCAGGTTGGCCTTCTCCAGGGCGTGGCAGGTGGCCGCTGGAATAAAGCAACACCAGTCAGTGAAGAACTGATCGCTCATAATTCATATGGACAAGGAATGACAGTTGCAGCGGGACAAAGCGTACCAGTTCGTGTGTAGCGCGTTTCACACAGGACTCACCGACCAGTCGGAGGTCGGTGTCCGTCTCAGTGGTCGGCGCCTGCAGTTCGGTCAGCTTTGGCTGGTCCTGCACCTTCAATACGAGCTCCAGGCTCGTGGCCGGCGCAGGGACCTCTCCACCGCGGGTTTGCTGATCGGTTAGCTCCCGCCGACGGTCGCTGACGATATCGTCAACGGCGGACCGCCACCGACGGCAGACTGTCGGCACCGACGGAACAATGGGGATCGGGCGGCACCGAGACCTTGACGGGAGCGTCAATATTCATAACAGATAGCGTTTGTATTTGTATTTATAAACAGTAGCCATTCTAAAAAATATCATTCCGAGCGGCCCTAATTCACATTAGAATTCCGTGCCTTTCGGCTCCTATGCTGGACTGCATGTGATATATTGTCCCATGCCGAGCTCGCCGGTTTCATATTGTCCCATGCCGAGCTCGCCGGCTCGCCGGTTTTCGCCGGTAAAGGAAGAACTCCACGAAGGACTGTAAGTATGTCATAATGAAGCATGATCATTGATCAACGCTCCGTGCTACTACAATGCCCTACATACATTGCCAGTTGCTGAAGCACTCACCCCGCCTGGCGCGGAACATCTCCCAGCAGTCCATCTTGCTCAGCACCATCTTCAACAACTCGTGGTCCAGAAGGCAAATGGCAGAGGCCCATTGCGGTGCAGCCTCTCGCACGTCAGCGCCCGCCAGTCCCGCCTCCTCCTCAGCTTGGGTGATGACGTCACAGTTTCTGATGGCGCCACACTTGTCACAAGTGTCCCCCTTCGGTGAAGCCACCTCATCGCCGTCACTGTGGCGAGATGATGTCAGTGTGACGTGGTGTGACGTCATCAGAGCTCTCAGGTCGGTCATTAGGCAATAATTTCCAGAAGTCTCCACTTCCAAGACAGCACAGTAGGCGTACCATCGATCTGTGAAAGCCCATCTAGTGTCCCCTCCCCCCAATCCCTGTGCCACCCAGCAGCCTGCTGCCTCACAGTCACTCACAGACAAGTTGTCTACAAAACCGAGTTGTCTCTTACAAACTGTCTAGTATCTAGACAACCGGTTTGGGTCTTATATGTAGACAAACTGTCCATACAACCGGTCAATATTTACAGACAAACTGTCTACACAACCGGGTTTACTCTTACAAGCAAACTCTCTACACATCCGGGTTGACTCTTACAAACTGTCTACTCGTACACAACCGGTTTGACTCTTACAAACTATTCGCAATCCCTTACAGTCAAAACCGACTTACTTCTACTGTTAACCCCCTAACGTCATCCCACCGACTAACCCCCACCCCATCCCTGCTGCCTCCCAGTCTCACCTCTGCGAGCGGTCGGATGGCGCCGCTCGCCGGCGGACCTCCTGCCGCAGCTCCTCCACGACGACCTGGCGAGTGGTGCGCTCCTCGAGGACAGCCTGTCGCAGGCGGACCACTTCTTCACGTAGATGGACCACCTCCTGACGCAGTGTGGCGTTGTCTCCCTTCAGTGCGGCGTTGTCTCTCTTCAGTGCGGCGTTGTCTCCCTTCAGTGTGGCCTTGTCTCCCTTCACTGTGGCGTTGCCCCCCTTCAGTGTAGTCACCTCCTTCTTCAGTGTGGCCACTTCTCCCTCCAGTCCGACCACCTGTTCACTCAGTGAGTCGCAGTTTTTCTTCAGTGTGGTCAGTTCCCCATCCAAACGGGCAATGCCCTCTTGATTACGACGTGTCAGTTCCTCCTTCAGAAGTGCCATCTCTTCTTTCATCTGGATAACCTCCTCTTGGTGCTGCCTGGGCTCCATTTCTAAAACATAGAACGTACGGTATATAAGACTGAGAGAACGGTGTCACCTGAAACAGTCTAATGGTCGTAACGGCATGTGCCTATGGCTAATCTGTGAGTTTATGATTTTTTGACACATACCGTTGTTGGTCTGAAACTCAGGAGTCATGACGTCACCAAAACCTCAATCTTAATTTTCCCAACCGATTTGTTTGAAATTTCATCGCAATGAACTTCAATAGATTCCCTACATGCAACCAGAATTTGGCGCTGCTGCGACGCGCCGTTTTTTTTTTTTTTTTAGCTTAAGTGCGGCGAAAGAAGTGGGGCGTTAACTCATCCAGCAGCTAGCGGGTAAGGTAACGAAGTTTTCGAGGCACTATGATGCAGTACGTAGAATAACCCCTTTCCTCAGCCCTGATCCGGCTAGACCCTCTCTCATAACGAGTGGATGGGGGGAGATACGACTCCTGGCGGGGCTTTTACAGAGCTAGCTACTTTGATACGTCAGAGGCTGGTGTAGGCGTGCTGCGTGAGCCACAGTTGGTTCGTACGAAGGTTCATGTCTGTTTTTCCCCACCCGCCGTGAACTGAGCAGAGGGTGTTCACGGACTCTCTCGCCGATCACCTCCCTCCACAACCTCTCCCCCTCCCCCCCCCCCCCCCCCCCCGCTGACCCCCTGACCCGTCTACCGCCGACACCGAGCACCGGCCAGCCGACCCCCGGTGTCGTGTCTCCGTCGGCTGACTCGGCCGTGGATCAGCTCCGTGTCTGTGTGTTCAGGCGGCAGAAACACCGGTAGAGAGCAACTGGAGCCGGAGAGAGAGGGAAGGAGGGAGAGAGAGAGAGAGAGAGAGAGAGAGAGAGAGAGAGAGAGAGAGAGAGAGAGAGAGAGAGAGAGAGAGAGAGAGAGAGAGAGAGAGAGAGAGAGAGAGAGAGAGAGAGAGAAGGTGGAAACGGCCCGCCGTACCGGTCAGATCTCCGAGCCGTGGTCCACATGGACGTGTTTCCCAGTATACAGGCCGTGGTGAGGCACAGCCCTCCTTCGCTGCGGGTTACCTATCAGTGGTTACCTATCTGTGATGAGGCACAGCCCTCCCTTACTGCGGGTTACCTATCAGTGGTTACCTATCCGTGGTGAGGCACAGCCCTCCCTTACTGCTGGTTATGGAATCAGTTGAGTTAATTTTACATCACTGAAAAACTGATGCCAAACAAGGATGACAATTGACATCGTTTGGTTTCGCTATAACAAAACTCAGTATCCGATTGGCATCTCTAAAAGGAACCCTCTACACGTTCTTAGTACCTACAAGGTCTGCTGCTGTAGGTCACCAGAGGTCAGCAATTCGTGATGTCAATTGGAGATAAACTGGATACCGATACCAAACCAAATGCCAATCTAAACCACGAGAAAATCGGAGTAACTTGGACAGCAAGGAAAAATGCCTAATTTCACCAAACCAAAAGCCTCTTTTACAATAGCGTGGATTTATAATGCCTACCAAAAATTCAACAAAAAAAAAACATTTTGATTGCAATACCAAACTCGACCTGACATATTTCCTCCGACGAGCTCCTGGTAGCTAAGTCGTCTCCATGGCAACCGCCAGCCGAGCCCAAGAGAAGAAAGGGACTTCCCCCTCTCTCACGCGCAGCGGAGCGAACCGCGCCAGGGGGACTTCCCCGTTCGGTAAAACTGAAGCTGAGGGCCCGTTTTTAGATACAGTATATTGAATATTGAATATTGAATATTGAAATATTGAAATGATCATTTCAATATCATTTCAATATTGAAATGATGCTCATTAGAGTTGTAAACACCACGATAACCCATCGAGGCCAGGTCTGCACTCCTTATCAAACCTTGACCTAGTCCGGCCAAAACTAGCCCAGCCTGACTAATCTTTACCTAACCCAACAACACTTCACTCTGCACCCAAGGCCCTATGATACCCCTACAACTACCTAACACTGAATAGCTACCACTGGCAGAAAGCTATCCAGCAGATTACGTCAGACTGATGGGAATGTGTCACGTGACCTCACCCCAGCGGATTACCTCAATGTTGGGTGCGCTGATAAACATCGTTATTTAGATTTAGGGCATGGAACCAGAACAGAATCTATGCTTGTTCAACTGTTGGAGCTCAGCATTCGGCCCTGCCTTCAACACGGTACCGTGCCGCTGAGGACTAGACCCTGGAAAATACCCACAGGTCACACAAAGACCACACTGTTTAGCCAGCCCAGTTGGGGAAACTACGAGGCGAATGTCAAAAAATGGATTGGTCAATAAATGGACTTTTGATGACCATATATGGGCATAAATGCAGCCCCCGCTACTAAGGGTGAAAAACGGTATAACAAGCCGGTACTTGCGGTATGCGTCCACTTATTGGAGAGAAAAGGCTTCCATTTTTCACTAGGAATCAGTGTGATTTGATTCAATTCGGCGAAATGACTCGAAAATCGCGATGGGAAAACGGCTTTTCTGCAGGTTCTGGGCGTCACAATCAGCTGGCCATTCAATAAATGGATTGGTTTTATGAAAGAAAATTGTTAAAAGATTTTATTTAATTACAATAAACAAAAATATTTAATTCTTAAATAATAACTTAACTACAATTAGAAAAACCATAAACAAAATAATTAAAATAATAACATTTTAAAACCACGGTACCGCTTACATTTTTTGGCGCGTCTGTTTCAATCCGCCATATTTGCCAATCACGGTTTGACCTTGCGTTGTAACTCTGCGATTTAGAGCCGCCAGTTAATTATGCACCGGGTGAGTGTAGGTCTTGTGTGGTTAAAAAACATTCTTATGCCTTATTTTTTCATTTGAATGCTAAAATTCATTGAAAAGATGAAGTTGTCTGATTTTATGACCATATATGGTCATCGCCCCGCCCACTCCAGCCGCTGATTGGCTAATCCAATTTTTGTTTGGCTCCTCGTAGTTTCCCCAACTGAGCCCCCCCCCCCCCCCCCTCTCATCCCCACAGATGTGTGACCGTCTGTGTCACCCTTCCTCTGACCCTCTCTGACCTCACCTCGTCTCCTCTGTCCGTACCGCCGTCTTCGCCGTCCGTATTTCTCCGTCTCCACTTTCTGTAGGTACTCTCACCTACTACGCCACACTTCCAGCAGCCACTGGCGCCACTGGCAGTCCCAAGGCCGTCGCTCGACCGTCAGCCGCCTCTGGTTCCGACAATCGCCGATAGGTGGCAGCAGGTCCTGGGCTCAGTTTGCTGTATATAGTTCCGACTAGGGATGTCAATTACGGAAAATCGTGATACCGATACCAAACCAAATATCAACAAAAACCATGAGAAAATACCGAAAGTCGAAACCGAACCGACTTTG